CCCGGTCTGATTCTCCAGACGCATGGCTTGTTTTGACGCTCAGTCAGGTTCTCCTGATGCACGCCTTTTTTTCTTCCTCGACGCTTGGTCAGTTTTTCCTGATGCACGTCTACTTTTTAATGGGATCCTTATCTAAGGAATGTATCCGCCCACCCAGGGACGCCATGTTTGTCTACCCAGTGAGATTACCACGAGTTATGGCAAAACCCCACTGCAACCTCTCCTCTAAGGGGTATATCGGACTAATCTAGCACTTGAGCTTTACCCAAAATGACGCTAGATTAATTTTGCTTAAGGCTGTATCGGAAGTGATTCACCCAGACTGTTCATGACCATCAGTTGCTATCCATACCCTTATCTCACCCCTAGACTCGTCCAACCTAGTAGTCGGGGTTAGGACGTTAATCAAGGGGAAACTGGAATTTTTAGGCCACTCACCTCCTATTGTAGAATTGCAATTGTTACCGATCTGGTAGCTTTAGAATCTAGGCACAAGATTCCAGGGTGTTGTTTGATCCAAGCTGTGAAACCTTTAAAAACCTAATTTTCTTGATGAATTTGAGCCCAGCTTTTCCAAATTTTTGAACCCGAAGTGCAGAAATGATAGTCCAGAATTTTACATTTATATGCTTTGCTTTAATCAATGAATTGCAGGGGTACAGCATTATCAGCACATTCTAATTGATTACATTTGATCATTCCAACAATTCTAATGACAGAATTCATGCCTGGTTCCAGAGACTGTCTTATGGGGTTTGTGTGACATTCAGGGTCCTATTGTGTCCACAAGGCGTGGCTTCCCTGACTCCGATGAGCCAGGTTGGAGAGTCCTGTCTCCTAACTCTTGAGTTGTTATTATAGAGCAGCCTGTTCCTGCACAGTGGACTGATATGTGCTTGGAGCCCCAAGGCAGGTTAAAACCTCTCAAACCTCTAAGTCTGTCTCACTAACCAACCAACCAAGTTTAGCTAAACCTGTTACAAACCACCTTGACAGCACACAGTTTATGCAGTGACTTCTCAAGAATGTTGGAAGCAGAACAACACTCTCTTGCCCTGACACTACCTCTTAATTTAGAAACACTGTTATTTCATATACATTTAGTATTTGGACAATGGGTAGGAGTCGCTCACCATTTCTGCCCAAAGACTTCTGGAAAATGGCACGATAATCTCTCTTCCAGAGCCCTGGAAGAAAGTCTCCTTTAACCCCCAAAAGCCGTCCTGATCCTGAGGAATCTGGTCTGGAGTCAGCCCGACTGAACAAAAGGTATTCCTATCTTTGAAAAAAAAATCCTCTTATGAGCTGTTCCAAGTTCTTCTGTTTAGCTCCTGGGGATGCAGCCACACATCCTCCTCTTTGGACTATCATGGTCCCGTTCAGCCCCGTTTCTCTACTGGGCTTGGTTTTTATTGACTTTTGAGTTTGCTGGTCAACCCTCTTTTTCCCTTGACTAGTTTGATCTGATCGGTGATTGGTTGTAGTTTGTCATTGTGCCCTTTTAAGGCATCAAGTTGTTACTGCTCTGCTTCTCGGCTCACAAGTCACTGACATACGATCTTTCCTACAGCCCATTTCCTTTTATGGTAAAGGAGCTGCTTTGCTCGGTTTCTACATGTAATGCTAGAAGGTATTTACACACTGTTCTGCTGAGGGCAGCCTGCAGCATTCCAAAGGAAATGCAGCATCTCTCTGGAATGCTGTTAGCCCCCCCTCCCCCCCCAGACATCAGCTCCCTCAACTTACTTTCCCCTCTCTTTCAGAACACAGCATGAATCCCTACACATTTCATTCATTTTACTTCACCCTAATCACAGGATGCAATATAGAATACAATAATCACCTCATGTATGAATACAATACTGTTATGATTACTTTTATATAATATTGTACACCATTTATTCATAGTGTAGAGCACAAAGCTGTCACATTTGGGTGTCCATGGCAGAGCTGATTTCATTCCAAAAGACCTCACTTGACACCCCGGCTTACCAAAGCTGGCTCTTGGGACATGGAATGTGACCATCTGGTGGGGAAGGAGCCTGAGCTTGTGTGTGAGGTTGAGAGGTACCAATTAAATATAGTTGGGTTCACCTCAACGTACAGCATGGGCTCTGGAACCAATCTCCTTGAGAGAGGCTGGACCTTATTCCACTCTGGAGTTGCCTATGGTGAGAGGCGTTGAGCTGGTGTGGGTCTACTCTTAATCCCCTGACTTGGTGCCTGTGTTCTCCCCAGCAGATGAGAGGGTGTCTTCCCTTCGCCTTCGGGTGGGGGGATGGACTCTGACTCTTGTCTGTGCCTATGCACCGAATGGCAGTTCAGAGTATCTGGCCTTCTTGGAATCCTTAGCAGGGGTGCTGGAAGGTGCACCAGCTGGGGACTCCTTTATTCTGCTGGGGAACTTCAATGCCCACATGGGTAATGACAGTGTGACCTGGAGGGGAGTGAATGGGAGGAACAGCCTCTCTGATCTGAACCCGAGTGGTGTTCTGTTGTTGGACTTATGTGCTAGTCATAGTTTGTCCATCACAAACATCATGTTTGAACGTAAGCATGTCCATAAGTGCAGTTGGCACTAGGACGCCCTAGGTCGTAGATCAATGATTGACTTCATAGTCGTGTCATCTGATTTGTTTTGGACACTCGGGTGAAGAGAGGAGCTGAGCTGTCAAATGATCACTGCCTGGTAGTGAGTTGGATCAGATGGCAGGGGAAGATGCAGGACAGACCCGGTAGACCCAGATGTGTAGTGAGGGTTTGCTGGGAATGCCTGGCAGAAGAACCCATCGGAGAGATCTTCTACTCACACCTCTGGGAAAGTTTTAATCGCATCCCAGCTGAGGTGGGGGAAATTGAGTCTGAGTGGGCCATGTTTCACACCTCGTTTGACCTCAACCAGTGATGTCATCAAGATGTGGAAGGAATAGTTCTCGGACCTTCTCAATCCCAGCAGCACGTCTTCCATGGAGGAAGCTAAGTCGGGGGACTTTTGGATTGATCCATCCATAACCGTGGCTGAGGTCGCAGAGGTAGTTAAAAAGCTCCAAGGTAGCAGGGCTCTGGGAGTGGATGAGACTCACCCTGATTTCCTTAAGGCTCTGGATGTTGTGGGGCTGTCTTGGTTGACATGCCTTTGCAACGTCGCATGGACATCGGGGGCAGTGCCACAGGATTGGCAGACTGGGGTGATGGTTCCCCTCTTCTGTCCAGATGAACTGACTGAAAATTGTTGGATTGTATACCTGGATTATTGAGCATTGACTTTTTGGTTTTGAATCAGTTTGACATGACTGTCGATGAGAAAGAGGGACGGCACAAGAGGAGGGGGCGTGCCAAAGACACCATCTTAGCACCAACATAACTGGTTTGTTCCACTTTGGAGTAAGCTGTTTGGGGGAAGAATCAGTTTTGTGTTGTGTGTTTCCTTGACTGATGAACTCTTCTGGATGGAAGGTGAAACATTTCAGAAAAAAAATAAACTGTCCAGATGACCTGACTGAAAATTGTTGGACTACTGTATTGCTTTACTACCTAAAGAGTAAATTAATACTGTATTACTTTACTACGTAAAGAGTAAAACACTATTGTATTACGTTACTAAGTAAAGAGTATAGCACTATTGTATTACTTTACTAAGTAAAGAGTAAAACACTACTGTATTACTTTACTATTTAAAAAGAAAAACACTACTGTACTACTTTACTACGTAAAGAGTAAAACACTACTGTATTACTTTACTACAAAAAGAGTAAAACACTACTGTATTACTTTACTATGTCAAGAGGAAAACACTACTGCATTACTTTACTAATAAAGAGTAAAACACTACTGTATTACTTTATTACGTAAAGAGTAAAACACTACTGTATTACTTTACCACGTAAAGAGTAAAACTACTGTATTACTTTACTACATAAAGAGTAAAACACTGCGGTATTACTTTACTATGCAAAAAGTAAAACACTACTGTATTACTTTACTACATAAAGAGTAAAACACTACTGTATTACTTTACTACATAAAGAGTAAAACACTACTGTATTACTTTACTACATAAAGAGTAAAACACTACTGTATTACTTTACTATGTAAAAAGTAAAACACTACTGTATTACTTTACTACGTAAAGAGTAAAACACTACTGTGTTACTTTACTTCGTAAAAAGTTAAACACTACTGTATTACTTTACTAAGTAAAGAGTAAAACACTAATGTATATTACTTTACTATGTAAAGAGTAAAACACTACTGTATTACTTTACTAAGTAAAGAGTGAAACATCGTGCTGGGACAGTTCAATAAAATGCAGCGCAAAAGATTCATTGCAAAAAGGATGTAACCAAAACAAAACCATGATGCTGATGATGTCTTCATAAAAAGGAACCCAAATTAATTTAGGCAACCAATGCTAAACCACCTATTGCACATTGTGCAACATGTTTTTTTAGAAAAGTAGTTTTTATCATTGGTTCCTAAACTTTGAAGCTTTGACTCCACAATATGACAAACCTAAAAAATATACAAATGTTGTTAAAAGGAAAAAGGAATCTAAAATTAACAACTGCAACTTAGATCCATTTTTGCTTTGGCTTTTATAACATTTACAGTGAAAACAGAATGTTAGCAATTACTTATCAAATGTATTTGAGTTATAGAGATCATATTAAGCTTAGTGTTTTATGATCCACAGTGGGAACCTAGCCATAACTTTAGGAACCACTGGTTTAAACTGGTCTACCTGCAGTGACTTTAAAACTTTTGAGGAATTACAAAATTGTTAAATACAAAAAAAAAATATTATTTTCAGCCAGTCAAACCTACCTAGTGTTTCCATTGTTTATTTTCATCTTTACAGCTTTTGACATTAGTTTTTTTTTTCACTTTTCATAGTATTTAATTTTATTTTACAAAGTATTTTTTCAGGTGTTTGACTGAAAACCATTAAGTTTAAGGTTTAATTTAAAATTAATCAATCAGTTTTATTGGTCTTTTTTCAGGTATGGACTGGAGCCTCTGAGGCTGTTGACGTTGGAAAGAGAGATAAGAGAGGAAGTAGGGTGTTTGTCTCCATCATCTCCACTCTCCTTTGTTCCTCCAGCATCATCACAATCCCCCCTTCCCCCAGCCTCCTCCTCTCCTCCTCCTTCATGTTCCACCTCCACTACGACCCATCTGGCTGAACCTCTCGCTGCCTCCCTCTCCTCTGATCTTCCATCAGCCACGGCAAACACAGCGCCTGCATCAACCACGGCCTCCTCACAAACCCCTTTGTTCTCGTCGTCCTGCGATGCTGCTGGCACATGTGCTGCACCTCAGCTGTCGGACCAAAGTCTGGTGTCGACTGTTGACATCTGCCCCACCACGATAAACCAACACACACCTCCCATCACCCCCCAACCTGCAACACATTCATCCAACAAATCTAAAAGCCGAAGGAGTGCAGGCACCAGCATTTTGGATGACATAGTATGAGTTTTATCTTTAGTTACCGTAAATGATCTTAGTATTACATGTCGGTCATTTCAACCTTTACTCTGTTTCAGGTGAAAAATATTACTGAAACCCCCCCGTGCAGCTGTCCCACCAAGTTTCCTGTTGAGAAGCAACCCAAAAGCTGCTACCGTGTCGGCGACAAAGTTCTGTACATCCGGGTAAGAAGAGTCAAGTTCCATTTACTGGTGAACTGTGTGGAGCAGCAACTAAGGTTACACAAACCATGTGCCCTGACCCCTCCCATAATGACATATTTTAAATGTCTTATTCAAAGCAGAACTAACAGACTAGTGATTATGTTTTAACTCCAAACATGAAAAACTTTTTATTATTATTTTTATATTTTTTCTTGTTCCACCTGTATGAATCTGTTGTTTTAATATATTAATGTGGTCAAAAGACAATTATAAGCCACTTGTAGGGCGGCTGTGGCTGACTGCTTACAGCAGTCATCCTCCAGTGGGAGAGTTGGGGGTTTGATTCCACCAGCAGTCACATGTTGAAGTGTCCCTGGGCAAGACACTGAACCCCTCGTTGCCTCTGATGTGTGTCCCATCAGTGTCTGAACGTGATAAAGCTCTGATTAGTCTCTACAGATCCACAGTAACTTTGTAGAGATGTAGTAGAGAGCTGTATAAATGTGTGCTGAGGTAAATGAGGGCACAGATTGTGTTGTAAAGAGCTTTGAGTGTCTTGATTAGACAGAAAGACGCTGTATAAGTACAGTCCATTTATAAACATAGATTTGTGGAAGGGAAATAATGGTCATCATTATCTGTCGATTAGAAATTAGGGGTTGCCAAATGGTGGACCGGGTTGAATCCAGGCCCAGATGAAATCTTATTTGGACCCAGATTGGTTGTGAGATTTCAATAGAATGAAATAAATATAACTATAATTATGTACATTACATTTACTTTTAAATTGTAAATATTTTTCTGCATTTATAGCAATTAATAAGGTGACACAACTTTTCTCGCATTAACAGGAATTCACTTTAAGCTGTAAACCTTTTCAATCCATCAATCAAGCACCATGCATACATCAAATACAATCCAAAGAGCTTTCCAATGGAATTAAAAAAGCTATCCCAGGTAAAGCTGAACCGAGCAGATGAGTTTTTACTCTACAAGTAAAAGTATCAAGTTTATGGACTCCTGTCAGTGCCTCGGGCAGGCCGTTGGAAAGTCTTTTTGCATAGCTACTGAAAGTAAAATCACTAAAAGTTCTTGTTCTGCTCTGTGGAACAACTAAAAGAGAGGAACCAGAGGATCTGAGGGACATCCTGACTCATAAACCAAAACCATCTCCCTGACATTGACATTGTCTGGTGAGTGGCCACATTCTACAACTTATGCTGATATTTAAGTCAGCACAGCTGCCCCACTTAGAGCACTTCATTTTGGGATGCACTGCTTGTTCTGCTCTTACAATAACTCATTTTAGGCTGCAAAGCTTTTCTGGCATTTGTGGTAATTCTCATGTTTGGGCCACAGTTTCCCTCTGAGAAGCTACCAGGAGAGGTATGGACCTAAAAAACATTAGTGTGAGTACAATTAAAAACCAGCACCACTGTCACTAAAAGAAAATATAAGTATGTGCAGCATATTTTGGATATTTGCTGGAGAAAAAAAATATTTAGCTAGAACTTGCTTGTTTTAATTGAAGAAACTATTAGTAACCAACGTCATGACTCCCACAACAAAGACTGATGACACATGTCGTGATAAGAAGTGAGGTGCAAAAGTTCTTATTCAACATTTAAGTCAGCAACAAGTCCAGTGTGTCAGAGTGATTTATCATCGCACGGTGCCTTTCAGCCTCCTTCAGTCGTGCTCCACTCATGTGCGTCTGTGTGGAGGCTCAAGGAATGGGAGGATGGGTTGCCTGGCAACCATTGGTCAGGATAAGACCGTGCTGACAATGATCGTATTCAGAACGTAGACCTTGGGTAAAGAGTACAAACCTGGTGGAGAAAACAAATACGTCTCTCTGTGGGTGAATGTGCAAAGACGTGACTCTTGTGTGCGGTTTAAATGGCAGCCCACCAGGGAATTAAAGTCCATGTGTATGTGCTGAAGGTTTCAAACATGAACATGCACCCATACCACTCATACCCCCGTCTTTATGTGTCCACACAAAGAGACACAAAGAGAAAATATTCCATCTTTAGTGTGCACAGTATGCAAAGAGAAAAATGTATTTTAAAATCATTTACTGTAAAAATACAAAAAATGGAAAGTTTATTTTTAAAATATTCATGCCCAACTTTTTCAATAAATTCAGTGACACAAATGTCACAATTTTGATCACTTGTTTAAATTCTAACTAGGTCTTTTACATTTTACATTCCATCTTTCATGGCAACACTTTAAAAAAGATCTTGTCCAATTATATTCAATTTCAATTCAGTTTATTTCTAAAGCTCCAAGTCCCAACAGAAGTCGCCTCAGGAACTAAACAGAAACATTCATATATAAAATAATAATTTAACAATATTTATCTGAGGAGCAGCGCTGGAGGACAGATTAATGCATCTAAGGAGGGAGAAAGACTGAAAAATTCATTCCTAAGGTGCTCAGGTCCAAAAACTAAAACCTCAGTCTTGTCTGTTCAACAGGAGAAAATTAAGGGTCATCCAGGTTTTTATGTCTTTAAGACATGCTTGTAGTCTAAGTAGCTGATTGGACTCATTGGGTTTAATGGACAAATATAACTGTGTATCATCAGCATAACAATGAAAATTTATCCCATGCTGTTTAATAACTTTATCTAATGGAAGCATGGACAAGGTAAAGAGTATTGGTCCAAGCATTGACCCTTGAAGAACTCCATGACTAACCTTGTTGTATGATGAAGATTCATTATTTACATTTACAAATTGGAATCTATAAAAAATGTGATTTTAACCAATTTAGAGCTGTTCCTGTAATTCTAATATCATATTCAAGTCTCTGTAGTAGAATATTATGATCAACCCATCCAATCACTTCTTCTGATTTTATCCTCAAAGTGTCTCCATTGAGTTTGTTGATTCTTATAAATATTTGAGTATCTTGGTCGACTCACATCTCTCTTTTAAGCTCCACGTGGAAAACTTGGTAAAGAAACTGAAAGTTAAACTGGGTTTCTTTTTCAGAAACAAATCCTGTCTAACTCTGAATGTTAGGAAACACCTTGTATCTGTGACTTTCCTTCCCTCCATTGATTACGGTGACATTATTTACATGAACGCTCCTACAAGAACCCTGCAGATGTTGGATGCTGCAGATGTTGGATGCTGCAGATGTTGGATGTTGCAGATGTTGGATGCTGTCTATCATGGTGCACTAAGATTCGTAACTACCGTACCCACCACTGCACCCAGTATCCACTGGTTAACTGGTCACCATTAACTTCACACAGACTCTCCCACTGGTACATCTTCATCTTTAAATCACTTCCTGGTCTGCTGCCTTCATACATCTCCTCCTACATGTCTCTGTGTGAGTGCAGCTACAGCGTGCGCTCTCAGGACATCATTACCTGCAGTGTTCCCTCAGTGAGGACTGAACTAGACAAAAGGACCTTCTCCTACTCCGCTCCTGTTTCCTGGAATATCTTGTAAAAAGATCTGAAGCTCTCAACCTTTGACCTCTCTAAGTGACTTCAAACATCTGTTCAGTTCCTGGAAAAAACCAACGCAAACACATTCCTGTTTTTAGCTTTCTAAATCGCCTTATAATCTAGCTGTTTTTTTGCTGCTATTCCTCTTGATTGTCTTTTTGGTTGCTGTTTTGTTTTGATTGTTTTGATTTGTAAAAAAAAAAAAGAGAAACTTACATTTGTATACCTCTGTCTATTTTACACCGGTCTATTTATGCCTTTGTTGGTCACTTTTCTCATAACTCTTTGTTGAAATCAGGTCTCTCTTGTAAATGAATCCCCGAGTCTCAATGGGATTAACCTGTAGAAATAACGGTCGGATGAAAAAAACTATATCAAATGCAGCACTGAGGTCTAACAGGACCAGTGTAGACACCCTCAGAGGCCATGAGAATATCTTTAGTAACTTTCACCAGTGCAGATTCTGTGCTATGATAAGCTCTAAACCCTGACTGAAACTCTTCAAGCAGATTATTTATTTGTAGATGTTCACATAACTGACCTGCAACTATTCTCTCTAGAATTTTTTAGATGAAAGTTAGATTAAATATAAGTCTATAGTGGGCCAGAATCAAATCAGAATCTGAATCAAGGTTATGTTTCTTAAGTAAAGGTTTAATTACAGCAATTATAAAGCTCTGTGGTACATAATCGTTTATTAGAGACAAAGTAAGCAGATACAAGATGTGGTTATTAATTAGGGGAAATACCTCTTTAAATAGTCTGGTTGGGATGGGATCTAGCAGGCATGTGGATGGTTTGGATGAAGCTATAGATTTAGACAATTCAGAGCTCAACAAGACAAAAACAGTCCAAACATAAATCAGGTTCTAGTAACATTTTTAAAGTTGTCTCATCTGACACCGAACCAGAGGTGATACTAGGAAAGATGGTTTGAATTTTTTCCCTAATTGAAACAATTTTATTTATTAAAAAAATCTCATGAAGTCGTCACTGACATGAAGTTGTATGGATACATGAATCAACAGAGAGAGGACGTTCCATTAGACTAGCCACTGAAAAGGAACTTGGGGTTATTTTATTTTCATCAATTAAAGATGAATAATGTAAAGTTCTAGCTTTACGGAGAGCTTTTTGTCCTTTAGCAGGCTATCACTCCAGGATAAGTAAAACTCTTCAACGTTAGTGGAGCGCCATTTTCTTTCTAGCTTTCTACATGCCTGTTTTAAAGTACGTAACTAAGAATTGAACCAAGGAGCTAATCTCCTCTGATTGTTTACTTTTTTTTCCCCAGCGGAGCAGCTTTATCGAGTGAAGTTTGCAAAGTACTTGGTACTCTGAGTTTTTGGAGGGGGGGGGGGGGGGGACTGTCATCTACACCACACCAAATTATAGTCATATTTTTGTTTGTGTTGCAAATGTACATCCAATGAGGTTCATTAAAATGAGTTTGGTGGTTCATGAGATATTTTGCTAACAGACAGACAGGCAAACTAACATGTACACACACATACACACAACTCTCCCTCCCACTCACACACACACATACACACAACTCTCCCTCCCACTCACACACACACACGCACACACACACACACAGGTTTGTTTTGCTATCTTTATGGGGCCTTTGCATTGACTTCCATTCATTTTTCATTCATTTCAATAGCCTAACCATGACCTTTATCCATAACCTAACCATTACCAGTACATACCTAACCCTAAACCTAACACATCCTCAATTCACACCTTAGTCCTAAACCTAGCCCCTAACCCACCAACGGGACTTCTTCTTATGGGGCCCGGGCTTTGGGCCCCATAAGGAGCAGTTAGTCCTCACAATGCAGTATAAGTTGGAAAAATGGGCCTCACAAAGTAGCATAAACAAGGACACACACACACACACACACACACAGGCAAGTACATGAGGGTGGTTGATTTTAAGAAATATTATGTGAGTGCTTCTTAAAGCTACATTCTCTGATGTTTCTTTACTGTTCCCATCAGAAAATAACCTTAGAGCAGCAGGACACCTGATGTTCCACAGCAGAGAACACAGGAACACATGAACATTCCTTAGATAGAGAACTTTACTTATTGGCTTTTATGTATGTGAATGTTTCTGTAAAGTCCCTGAGACAACTTTGATGTGATTTGGCGCTATAGAAATAAAATGAATTGAATTGAATTGAACAACAGACAAAACCACTTGAGGCAAAAAAAACAAACAAACAAACAAACATGATAACTACAGCATGTCTGCAGATTTAAATATTAAAAGACATTGAGATTTGTTTTAGTACAATACTAAAGATTATCCTCTCTTGCTCATTTTATATACGCCTCCTTGCAGATAAAGTGTCTGACTGTATCCAGCTCTCAGTTTTTCACATTATTCGCCAGTTTGTTGACACAACTTACACCACTTTCCATTTTCTCTCGATCTTTGACAAGCAAGCACTCCTCAGCTGTTTGAATGGAGCGATGAGGCCCATCCATCCTCATGCCATCCGTTACCTTGGAGCCCACAGCTACATGCCGTAAACCTCAATTATCATATGTCAAGATAACCCCTGAGAGCACTCGGTGTGTACAGATCATTTTAAAGAGCAGATACTATTGATTACTGAGACAAAGTCATTAGCATGGGGTTTAATCAGACAGCTTGTTAATGAGCGGCTGAGCATGACCGCCCCTCCTCTCATGTAAACTTTACACCCGGTCCCCTCCTTTCTAGCCTCACCCAACCCCCTTCTATTCCCTCTGGAGGCTATTCAATCACACAGGCCATGGAGTGCTTTGCCATTCTTTGGTGCTGAAAAAGAGGAAGGCTTTCTTTTCTTTCTGAGTCCAATTAGGTTCTCCTTCAGTTTTGTGGCAAGGATACAGGCTGATGGTGACCACAAAGAAAAGCACATTTAAACACCTCCAAATGCAAGCTAATTTATCTTTTAATACATTCAAATCCTTTTCTGAAGGTACTAAACCATCTAAATATATTGTTTTCTCTCCTTTTAGCCAAGCATTTAAACATTAGACTCCTTTATCTTTGTTCCTGGAGGATTCTTAAGCAAGACATTAACTAAAAGCTTTTTTCTATAACCTCTGGCTTTGCTGTGGAAATTAGAAAGTAAATATCTAAAAGCCTTTAAAATAATAAAGCCTAAATATCAGTTGTTTAAAAAATATACAATAAAAAATGATAAAACACAGATATTTAAATGTTGTCTCCTAAAACTTCTCTAAAGTATGTACATTATGTACTAAACAAAACAAGTGATAGCATGCGCTAAAAAGCTGATACATATTTTATTATGTTGTTTTCAAAGATATTTCCTGTTTAGGAGCCCGTCTTTAAATTTTTCACTTTAAGTATTTTGGGTACGTTCAAAGTCCAAGGAGCTACAGTAGGTTGTCCATGACAGTTTGGCTCTGATAGGTCTAACATGGCAAACGGCTGTGGGTCAGGAGTCTAACTAAACCTGATTCAGTCCAGCCTGAAGCTAATGTTTCACTGGGCTGTGACTGTTTGTGACTAGTTTATTTATTTTATTAAGAAATGTATAAATTTCATTAAAAACAAAGTAATTATATACAACAGAAATTAAATAAATGAAATGAAAGGCAGCAGAAGAAGAATAAATCTTATGATATCTGCTCCTTTTTTCCACAGAATTGGGGGCTCGTCCGGGACTAGTTAATGAACGGCCTTTGCAAGGGAGTCTCCAAAGTGCCTCATTTTCCTTATTTTCTCAGATGGGTTGCAGGGACATGCAATCTTGTCACTTGAATTTTGAACATGTTCAAAAATGTTTGTAACAAAATTTCCCTTAAAATAGAGCAGATGTTCTATTAACTGATATCTCCAAACCATCTTAAGAGCTCTAGAACTGTTGGCAACTGCACAGGAGCTCTCGTCTTACAGAAAACACCGGAGGCTAAGGTCCATGTCTACAAGCAAATTATTGATATCATAAATGAAGAACTGGTACAAGTCTACATGTCTTAATTTCAAAAATGTACTCCGGTAGAATAAATCATAAATGTAGAAATGCTGCCTTGGTGGGTAGCAAGCAAGCTGGAGTGAGTACACAACAATGCACCGCCCAGAATACAGTTTTACAAGTTGTGCACGCAGCAAGAAGTAATCAGAATACAAACTGGCTGATCAAAACCTAACAGCAAGGCTCAATGTGCATTTAGTCACAAACTGTCAGATTTCAGTGAGACTGCAATGAAAAGTGTACCTTTCCAACAAGTTGGGGTTACCAAGTCTACAAGAGATGCCTGTGATGGGATACCTCCCCCACTGCAGGAATTCCTTAGAGATAACTTTACTAATTGTCATTTATAATGTATGTGAATGTTTCTGTTCAGTGCCCTGAGATGACTTCTGTTTGGACTTGGTGCTTTAGAAATAAACTGAATTGAATAATGGGGAGTCATCCTGGAGCCAACCTGGAGGAGAGCCTCATCAGAGAGTACCTGATGGCACAGCCAAAACAAGCAACATGGGACCATCTTCTGTAGACCAACAACCATCATGAGGCTTTGTAAGGGACCAGTAACTTGAGCAGACATTTGAAGGTCTGATTTGTGTGAGAAAAAAAAAGGCACATTTTCTGTCCTGGATGTACACATGCTCATTTCCTCTGGCTGAATGTTTGGCATCAACATTCATTTAATAAGGAAGTTCCACAACAAATGGAACCAAACAGCCCTGCACTTCCATTCTTCACAGGCTGAAATTCATTCGGAGCAGCTGAGCGAGGCGTGCATGTAGCTGAAGTCTGCCTCCTTTTGGCAAGTGCTCGTCTTTTCCTGTGGACGCTCAGGCATTTTCAGCAGGGGAGGGAATCAGTGGAGCAGCCAGAGGGGTGGGGGCACAAACACAAGTTTATGGGCTGTGGACGTAGCACACTTTGTATGAAGGGTGGTGGTGGTGGGGGGTGTTAGAGAAACAAGAAGCAGAATGGCTTGTGGGAGATCCTTGAACTAAAAGACGTTCACTTGGAGGTTTGTGAACTGATTAACATCATTTAATTTGCGTTCTTGTGTGAAGCAGAATAGAAACTGAGGATTATGTTCAGGGAAAAAATTAAGGGAAATTTGTTCATTTATTGATTTAATCAAAAGGTGCCAGATAAGACTATTGAACCCTGCAAAGACAAAATGTGTTTTTAAATTGTTGCACAGAGTCAAGAATTCAAATAATTCTCAAAACTATATTTTTTCAGTTTTCACCTTATTTGAAACGAGGGCTGAGTTTGTGTGAATGAAGGCAGGTCAGCTGACTATTCCCCACACGTGACAGGAAAGTGATTTATGCAGCATGTCAGACTTGACCCCTGTCAACCTGAACATTTTAATCTGCAGGACGGCAGCTGAGGCCGCCTCGTCTGGAGGGTCCTCAGGAGCTGGCTGTTCACACGTCAGCGCTCGGACCAGGATTTCTCTCTTTCTCTCCGCCCATACATGCAATAGATGAGCAGATCTGCTTGGATTAACACAATCCTAATGGTTCTGTAATGACGGGTTTATTGGCTGCGGGGCACGAGGGGGCTGGCTTAGGTCTCCTGGGATCACTAATGTGCTTTGTGAGTTCATGGTCTGCGCTGAAATCTCATTTTCTCCTCTGTTTGATTTTATTTATTTATTTATTTATTTTTTTCATTTTCAAGGCTTCACATTGTGGCAGTAGTTGCCATGGCAACATATTGTTTTCAGTTTTATAATAACAAATAAAAGATTATTCATTCAAATATAAGTGAGACTTCTAAAACTGCATTGATTTACCATGTGGTGGTCTTTAAAATGCTACTTTAAGGTTTGTGTCTCACATCTTTGCATCTGTGTGTTAGAGTGTGTGTGTGTGTGTGTGTGTGTGTGTGTGTGTGTGTGTGTGTGTG